TACTATGAATGGATTTTGGTGACTCTTTTACTACTGTCTTGTCATCTGGAAATCCTCGTGCCCACTTTGTAACTTTTCATCAACATTGCTATTATTGCTCAATTTAACTTACTATGAATGGATTTTGGTGACTCTTTTACTACTGTCTTGTCATCTGGAAATCCTCGTGCCCACTTTGTAACTTTTCATCAACATTACTATTATTGCTCAATTTAACTTACTATGAATGGATTTTGGTGACTCTTTTACTACTGTCTTGTCATCTGGAAATCCTCGTGCCCACTTTGTAACTTTTCATCAACATTACTATTATTGCTCAATTTAACTTAGTATGAATGGATTTTGGTGACTCTTTTACTACTGTCTTGTCATCTGGAAATCCTCATGCCCACTTTGTAACTTTTCATCAACATTACTATTATTGCTCAATTTAACTTAATATGAATGGATTTTGGTGACTCTTTTACTACTGTCTTGTCATCTGGAAATCCTGGTGCCCACTTTGGAACTTTTCATCAACATTACTATTATTACCCAATTTAACTTACTATGAATGGATTGTGGCGACTCTTTTACTGCTGTCTTGTCATCTAGAAATCCTCATGCCCACTTTGGAAGTTTCATCAACATTACTATTATTGCTGAATTTAACTTACTATGAATGGATTTTGGTGACTCTTTTACTAATGTCTTGTCATCTGGAAATCCTCGTGCCCACTTTGTAACTTTTCATCATCAACATTACTATTATTGCTCAATTTAACTTACTATGAATGGATTTTGGTGACTCTTTTACTACTGTCTTGTCATCTGGAAATCCTCGTGCCCACTTTGTAACTTTTCATCAACATTACTATTATTGCTCAATTTAACTTAGTATGAATGGATTTTGGTGACTCTTTTACTACTGTCTTGTCATCTGGAAATCCTCATGCCCACTTTGTAACTTTTCATCAACATTACTATTATTGCTCAATTTAACTTACTATGAATGGATTTTGGTGACTCTTTTACTACTGTCTTGTCATCTGGAAATCCTCGTCCCACTTTGTAACTTTTCATCAACATTACTATTATTGCTCAATTTAACTTACTATGAATGGATTTTGGTGACTCTTTTACTACTGTCTTGTCATCTGGAAATCCTCGTGCCCACTTTGTAACTTTTCATCAAGATTACTATTATTGCTCAATTTAACTTAGTATGAATGGATTTTGGTGACTCTTTTACTACTGTCTTGTCATCTGGAAATCCTCATGCCCACTTTGTAACTTTTCATCAACATTACTATTATTGCTCAATTTAACTTACTATGAATGGATTTTTGTGACTCTTTTACTACTGTCTTGTCATCTGGAAATCCTGGTGCCCACTTTGGAACTTTTCATCAACATTACTATTATTACCGAATTTAACTTACTATGAATGGATTTTGGCGACTCTTTTACTACTGTCTTGTCATCTGGAAATCCTCGTACCCACTTTGTAACTTTTCATCAACATTACTATTATTGCTCAATTTGACTTACTATGAATGGATTTTGGTGACTCTTTTACTACTGTCTTGTCATCTGGAAATCCTCGTGCCCACTTTGGAACTTTTCATCAACATTACTATTATTGCTCAATTTAACTTACTATGAATGGATTTTGGTGACTCTTTTACTACTGTCTTGTCATCTGGAAATCCTCGTGCCCATTTTGTAACTTTTCATCAAGATTACTATTATTGCTCAATTTAACTTACTATGAATGGATTTTGGTGACTCTTTTATTACTGTCTTGTCATCTGGAAATCCTGGTGCCCACTTTGGAACTTGTCGTCAACATTACTATTATTACCCAATTTACCTTACTATGAATGTATTTTGGCGACTCTTTTACTACTGTCTTGTCATCTGGAAATCCTCGTGCCCACTTTGTAACTTTTCATCAACATTACCATTATTGCTCAATTTAACTTACTATGAATGGATTTTGGTGACTCTTTTACTACTGTCTTGTCATCTGGAAATCCTCGTGCCCACTTTGTAACTTTTCATCAAGATTACTATTATTGCTCAATTTAACTTAGTATGAATCGATTTTGGTGACTCTTTTACTACTGTCTTGTCATCTGGAAATCCTCATGCCCACTTTGTAACTTTTCATCAACATTACTATTATTGCTCAATTTAACTTACTATGAATGGATTTTGGTGACTCTTTTACTACTGTCATGTCATCTGGAAAGCCTCGTGCCCACTTTGTAACTTTTCATCAACATTACTATTATTGCTCAATTTAACTTACTATGAATAGATTTTGGTGACTCTTTTACTAGTGTCTTGTCATCTGGAAATCCTCGTGCCCACTTTGTAACTTTTCATCAACATTAGTATTATTGCTCAATTTAACTTACTATGAATGGATTTTGGTGACTCTTTTACTACTGTCTTGTCATCTGGAAATCCTCGTGCCCACTTTGTAACTTTTCATCAACATTACTATTATTGCTCAATTTAACTTACTATGAATGGATTTTGGTGACTCTTTTACTACTGTCTTGTCATCTGGAAATCCTCGTGCCCACTTTGTAACTTTTCATCAACATTACTATTATTGCTCAATTTGACTTAGTGTGAATGGATTTTGGTGACTCTTTTACTACTGTCTTTTCATCTGGAAATCCTCATGCCCACTTTGTAACTTTTCATCAACATTACTATTATTACTCAATTTAACTTACTATGAATGGATTTTGGTGACTCTTTTACTACTGTCTTGTCATCTGGAAATCCTGGTGCCCACTTTGGAACTTTTCATCAACATTACTATTATTACCCAATTTAACTTACTATAAATGGATTTTGGTGACTCTTTTACTACTGTCTTGTCATCTGGAAATCCTCATGCCCACTTTGGAACTTTCATCAACATTACTATTATTGCTGAATTTAACTTACTAAGAATGGGATTTTGGTGACTCTTTTACTACTGTCTTGTCATCTGGGAATCCTCGTGCCCACTTTGGAACTTTTCATCAACATTACTATTATTGCTCAATTTAACTTACTATGAATGGATTTTGGAGACTTTTTTACTACTGTCTTGTCATCTGGAAATCCTCGTGCCCACTTTGTAACTTTTCATCAACATTACTATTATTGCTCAATTTAACTTACTATGAATGGATTTTGGCGACTCTTTTACTACTGTCTTGTCATCTGGAAATCCTCGTGCCCACTTTGTAACTTTTCATCTTTTCATCAACATTACTATTATTGCTCAATTTAACTTACTACCCTTACAAAACCAAATTATATGGGACATATATGGACCAACTATGGGATTGATATGGTTCAACCTATGGGCCATATATGGAAGTTATATGGCTTTGGTATGGCCTGGTTGCCTTCATAGCATACCCATATCATGTTTTTGATATGGGTTTGATACGTATTTGGTACAAATCCATCCATATCCCATATGACTTACTATGGGAAATACATGGGTTCCTTATATCATTTCAGAACAACTTTGCTATGGGTAAGATAGGATTCTATATGGGAATGATCTGGGAACATGATATGGAATTCATATGGTTCTTGATGTATAAACTATGGGATTGATATGGTTCAACCTATGGGCCATATATGGAAGTTATATGGCTTTGGTATGGCCTGGTTGCCTTCATAGCATACCCATATCATGTTTTTGATATGGGTTTGATACGTATTTGGTACAAATCCATACATATCCCATATCACTTACTATGGGAAATACATGGGTTCCTTATACCATTTCATGACAACTTTGCTATGGGAATGATAGGATTCTATATGGAAATGATCTGGGAACATGATATGGAATTCATATGGTTCTTGATGTATATAAACTATGGGATTGGTATGGGTGCAACAATTATCATATTATACTGGGAATGGTATGGGCACTTGTTTTTCATCCCATACCAAACCCATGTTAACATCTAACATCCAAATGCTAGATGTTAACACATTGTGGGTTTGGTACGGGATGAAAACAAGTGGCCACCATTCCCAATATACTTGCTACAGCTCAAGAAAATTGTACTGGCTGGCATACATAGTTTTACTAACAAGCAAAAAATCTTCAAAAACACAATACACAAATAAATAACATAGTTAATAAATAAACAAATTACAAAATTGTTAACTAATTTACTATTTCTTAATGAACTTGCAAAGTTTGTCTAACTAAATTACCATGGTATAACTATATATACAAACATGCGATAATGTCAAGTACTAAGTGCTTATTGATCTATATAAATGCATCAATATCTATAATGTCCCCAGTCCTCTCAACTTGTGGGCCTGACTACAGACTATTCAAACTCTTTGCATACGCCTGGCCTCCACGTCACTTTTACACGTCACTGGTCTCCACGCGACATGACATTATGGTTGACATGATTTTACCAATGCTTATAGAATATTACACTATTATAATATTATTAAAATATTTGCCGGTTTACACGAGACACATGAAACAAGATTCATTTGTAAGGTCCGCATTTCGACATTTGTACGACACCATCTGCATCATCACTTGTAACTTTATACCAACTTGAACTGGTTGTAGTTTGTTTAAAGTAATTCAAAATTGATAGCATGTAATTGTATCTATCTTTGGTAGAATTTGTACGGTTTTACTAAATTGTTGAATAGGAGTTTCAACTAGATTTTAGCTATCATTAAATTATGGATTTCAGTTCGACTGCATTTTTTCAGTCAGCCGGAAATTGATGTCACGACCTTCATTATCATATTCATATTTCCAAGTATTGTGAATAATCAAGGTGTTGTTATTGCAAAATCAAACCAAAGCGAAGGCGGAAGTGTTTCAAAACCTCGTCTGTTTCTTGCTCTCGATTTATTTGCTTTACAATGTGAGATAAATTTGTCAAAGAAAGATAATGCATTAGTATCGAATCTTTAACTAGAAAGTGGCGCAATGTTTCTATGAGCTATGAAGCATGGCTTGCTGCCCGACCGAAGAGAAATATGGCTACGAAGACTGTCGATTTAAGAAAGATGTCGACGAAAATTTTCATTGTTCTATCTGCTACAATGTTCTTAAAGAACCAAGGACGTGTAGGAATAATGATCACATCTTTTGTCTTGCCTGCATCACTCAACATCTTAAGGTGAACTCTCAAACTTGTCCTGAATGTAATGAGCATTTGAGCGTCGATACGCTTCGTCGGCCGCGTGTGTTGAATAACATGTTGTCTAAACTAAAGATAAATTGTGATCATGCCAGTCGGGGATGCCCTCAGTTTACCTGTCTTGAAGATCTCAAAACTCACGTGGCGAATTGTGGCTATGCACCTGTGTTGTGTTCAAATGCAGAGTGTGGTATGGAGATTAACAAACAAGATAAGGTCCATCATGAGACTGAAGTTTGTGATTATAGAAAAGTGAAATGTCATGACTGTAGACAGATACAGGAAGATGTCGGAACATTGAAAGGAAGTTTAATGGAACTGGATGGGAAAGTGGACAAAGCAATGACGGGAATAAAGAAGTTGGACGAAAAAGTGGAAGCAGCGAAAGAAATGAATAACGAAATGAATGAAAAAGTGAAGGAAATCAACGAAAAAGTGAATGAAATAAAAAAGAAAGTGGAAGCATCAAGTAGACAAACGAAGATGGAAATCGGGGAAGTTAAGAAAGATGTCAAAGATACGAAGGACAATGTTTCCAAAGTGAACAAAGACGTGGACGAAGTGAAAGTCATGATGATTCAAATGTTAGAGAAGTTAAATATGCTTGAACTGCTGAACAAACTGCCATCTCCGACTGAGGGAATGTTGAACACACCAAGAGAGGATATTTTGGTTGCAGGTGGATATGCAGGACCTTCACATGTCCTTGGCAAAAGTACGGAAATATATTCCTGGGAGAAAAATGGTTGGTTTGAGATGTCGCCAATGAATGACAAGCATACTGAAGCTTCGTCATTTATCTATAAAGATCAGTTCTTTGTTGTCAGTGGAGTAAGTAGTAAGGCAATAGAGACCTTGAATCTTGATGAATTACCTTTGAAATGGACCAAATTTCTTGGGGAACTGCCTTATGAATATGATGATCATCAAACTGTTGTTTACCAGCAAAATGTCATTCACATTGGTGGATTTCAATCTGGCACATGGTCTAACGTGATTAGTGAATTACAACTTACTTCGCCCTGCATTATGAAACAGTTGTGTCAAATGCCAAAACCACGAGGAGCTCATGGCGCTGAGGTATTCGAAGATAAAGTGCTGATTTTAGGAGGATATAACTTTGATGGGACTACAGACAGTGTATTGGAGTTTGATCCAAAAAGGAATGAATGTAAAGCGATGCCAAAATTACCGTCTGCTTTGTGTGTAATGGCGACAGTTCGCTGGAGGGATGAAGTAGTTCTGCTTGGAGGTCTTGGTAAGGATACACACCAATCTCTGAATGATGTTTTCATGTACAACTCCAAAACAGGCAAGACCACAGCCTTACCATCCATGTTGGAGAAGAGATCTTACTGTTGTGCAGTTATTACTGGAAATACCATTATAGTGATGGTGAGAACAAGACAGATGGATTTCTGAGTTCAGTGGAGTGTTTTACAATGGGAGATTCTACATGGGCGTATCTTCCTGCCATGAACAATGCCAGGTCCAGAGCAGTTGCTGAAGTTTTACCTTCCACACGAAAATATGTGTAAATTGGACATTGAGACAATCATAAGACGTTAATTCATATTTAGATTACGTTTTCAGGCACGATCACATGGTTCGGCTTTGCTGGGTTGAGATCAGGGACGCCGGAACGATCATAAGGCAAAGGGGGGCGGAGCCCCCCTCCCGTCGCCAAAAAAATTTCGGTCAGTGTACCATTGTAGGAGTCAAAAAAATTTTCCGGACATACCAAAAGTCAAATATAAACTATAAATTGTTTGAATCTCATGATTTTCGTACAAAAAGCATCGTTGTAAATGTGATTTATCACGTATTTTTTTTATAACTAAAAGGGCACTACTGCCCCCCCCCCTGCCCCCCCTAGCAAAAGGCAAGGAGGGCAGCCGCCCCCCTGCCCCCCCAGTTCCGGCGTCCCTGGTTGAAATATGGGATGATTTTGATGTATTGAAATATTCAACGATTTATGCAATAGATTTCGGAAAAATTACATCAATTCCAAAGATAGTTTGCCATGTAAATGATGCTGAACAACTAGCAATTTACAGTCATAATAATTTCGTTAAACTACAGGTTTGCTCAATTGCATTCCAGCTCCTAATATTGTCGTTTGACTTCAACTTTATATATTTGTTGTGACTTATGTCGATACATTAAAATCACCCTGCTTCATCCTGAATCACATCTCAATGACTATATAGTGATGTTTATGTTAGTTGAATATATACATATATTGTACAAAATTATAGTGAAGTTCATTCTCCGCAGCCTTTCTTAACATGACATCGCAAATTTTAAGAGCCTAAAATTGACTTTATAACATTCGGCTGTGGTTTCGTTTAAAAAATTTATTGATTTCCGAGATTATATAATTATAGTATTAAGTATAATCATGACTATAAGTTGTAATAAATAAAAAAATTAATAAAATTTTATCTCTTAATTCTGAAATAAAACTAAACTGGAAATTCTCCTGCTTTATTCAACTCTGAGCAAACGAGGGAAATATTTTGAATCTTGAAGACTGCTTTTCAATTGAGAAAAGTGTACAAATCCGGTTACTAGTAAGATCCAAAATATCACTCCAGAAAAACGATGTCTTTTAATAATTTAAGTTTCACCATCAATCATTTCGGAATTACGGTGAAATGCGCGCAGACAATAGCATGAGAACCAGGGCGGTTATAAGATTTATTATACAAACATAAGTGTTATATAGAGTTTTTGGCCAATCGTATTTAAACACACGTAAAAAATACGATATTTTTACGTGTGAAAATATCATTTGTTGTAAAACGCATTGCCACGGACGTTTTATTATTTTTCACCGAATTTTGTTTATATAATAAACAGAAAAATACATGGGTGCTTGGAAATACCAGATTTATTTCTCGTTTTGAACATGATATCTCACTCGTTCGCTGCGCTCACTCGTGAGATATAATGTTCAACACTCGAAATAAATCTGGTATTTCCGCGCACCCATGTATTATTCTCTAAAGCCGCGTTCACACTAGCGGCCCAGGCCTGGCCTGGACCTGGCCTGGGCCAATTGTGACGCGTTCACACTGGCTTGACGCCGCCGCCCTGCTTGACGCCCAACTCCAGGCCAAAGCAATCAGGCTCACATTTAATTATGAATGTCAGCGGTTATGTTTGAGCGTCAATAATGGCGGATCCGCGAATGTTTCTCTGGTTCTATTTCTTCCTTTTGAAACGGCGCAAAAGAATCGGTCGTCAGAGAAAAAAGAGTACCATTCAGATCAGGAAAATCAATGATCTTCGAGAAATGGTGGGAAAGCAATGGAAAAATACGGTTAATGCAAGTTTAACCATCACATTGTTATATGGTTGTCTAACGAACAGGGATGTCTGGAGTTGGTTTAAGCCAAGCCATTCATATTGGGTCATCTCAAGTCAACAGTGGACAGCCAGAATGTGGATCGATCATTTGAGGATGAAGAAGGAAACCTTTCTCTACCTATGCCGAGATCTGGCGCCGTTCCTTGAAAAACAACAAACCCGTTTCAGAGAGACCATACCAGTATCCAAAAGGATAGCAATAGCGTTATGGAGGCTTGCCAGCGGACATGATTACCGTTCGCTTGGACAGTTATTTGGGGTTGGTCGTTCAACCTGCTGCAAAATTACTCATCACGTATCTGATGCGTTGGTGTCTGTATTTTTGAAAAGGTTTATCGCAACTGTTTCAAACGAACGAGTCCAAGAAACAAAAGAAGCCTTTAGGATAATGAGTGGCCTTCCTCAATGTGTTGGCGCAGTTGATGGGTGCCATATTCCAATATTAGCTCCAACAGAACACCACTGTGATTATTTCAACAGGAAACACTTCCATTCCATAATTTTACAGGCTGTTGTTGATCACAAACGAAGGTAAGCACTGACAGATTTGAATGTGATATGCGCAGTGGACAGTGGTCACTGTACCTGCATACAGTAAATGTATCAGTTAATTCCAGCTGTGGCTACCCCTCCCCCTGGCCAACCCCCACATTGTTGGAAAGACAATGGCTGTGCCCCCACCCTGGGCAAGAAACATAGATCTATATCCCCACCCCTGGGCCATAAAATTATTAAATGTTTCAACAAATTGCTTGACTTGCATGTTGATACAATATCTTTCCCTCCATATCTTCCATTGATAACACATGTTCCACCATAGCTTATAAACATGTCTTTCGGGAGAGGTCACTTCACAGCACCCTTGTATATCAGTATCTCTGGGGAAAGAACGTCTGCTTGCAGGCTTGGTACAAGGTTTCATTTTAAGTCACCACCCCTGGGCCATACGATAGGGTGTCAATAGCTCCACCCCCAAGATTAGAAAAGGGCCCGGGGAGATGGGCACAGCTGGAATTGACTGATGCATAATGCTGTGCACTTGAGTTTCATAAGTATTCCATTTATTTATTTTGTGACAACATGTTGTAATACTGTATTTATTTATTGATCTATTTACTTTCAGATTTCAAGACATATATATTGGGTGGCCAGGACGTGTTCATGACGCCCGGGTCTTAGCAAACTCAAGTCTGTACGCAAAGGGACAGAATGGAACACTCTTCCCAGATGTGAGTAAATTTTCTTACAAAATTGATGTTTTAATAATTTTTCCAATACATGTAATTACTAGAATTGGGGTAAACCGCGAGCAGTCCCTTGGGAGAAAGGAGGGACTGCCGACAACACATCAGAAAACGAAATATGCATTGCCCACACAACACTAGCCTGCACGCAGACTGTATAATGACATTATATGGTCTGCGGGCAGGCTAACACAACACAAAATTCCCATTGGTCGAAATCGATGTGCCTGTCAATCAAATCTGATATGTAGTAATTATGCTAAAAATAATTTCCAAGATAATTTCCATGTTGATTTTATAAATAAACATGACATTAACGGTTCCTATTGTATAAATTTAATTGGATATAAGTAATGTTTATGCAAAGGTGAAAAGTGGGCGTATTTCGTTTCTTGATGTGTTGTCGGCTGTCCCTCCTTTCCCCTCATACTCATACATCCGGGAAGCTAAACCTGTGGACAGGAGGGGACTGCTCACAGTCTACGCCCCTAGTTCCTATGCCCCTGATTCAGTGCATAACAAATTCACCAGAACATATACTGTATCTATCTTAAATATTTATGTGTATAAATGTTATTTTGTCTCTGTTAGGATGTACAAATAATAGATGAAGTAGAGATACCATTATATGTGGTTGGTGACCCAGCATACCCACTCCTTCCATGGCTGCTAAAGGTGTATCCAGATGATGGCATGCTTACACAAGCAGAAAAATATTTTAACAGGTGCCTATGCAAAATGAGGTTTGTTGTAGAGCATGCATTTGGAAGACTTAAAGGGAGATGGAGGTGTTTATTGAAGCGGAATGACACAACCATGCAATACATAATTCAGCAGACAGCAGCATGCTGTGTTCTTCACAATCTTTGTGAAATGCAAGAGGAGGAGTTTGAGGAAGACTGGAGAGTCGAACCAGATGTGGATGGACACAATATAAATAATCCTGAGGGCGATGAAGATGTGCGTGATGTTTTAAAGGGAATGCTTCAACGTCAATGGGGACTTTAGATTTTTTTGTCTAACAGATCTAAATCTCCAGAACTATTGCCAAAGTGGCCAATCACCCCTGAATTAATATACTGAACAAATGTATCTTGAGTGTAAAATATTTTCATATTTCATGAGATGTTGTTTTGTGGGTATGCTCCAATTGCAACATTGACTATGAACTTTTATTTCAAATGCCCAATTATTTGAGACATTCGTTGGTGTTTTTATTATATAATAAAATGCCTTTGCAAATATTATCTTTTAAAACCCTTTGACTACCAAGGACTGGATGTATATATTCACCTGCTCTTGCTAATACCAGACAATTTTAAGGGAAAGTTCCTGGCAGGTAAAGGGTAACTCATTCAAACTTCATGGGGAAAATTCAAAAGAGATATCAATCATTGTTTTGGATCTAGCTTGTGTGCAATAGTGCATACAAAAACATCACAGGTTAACATGTATTTTGTTGAAACTACCATACAATGGAATAAGTTTAAATAAGTTCATACAATAAAATTGTGTTTGCAGTAACCCTGTCCAAACAAAATTAGCTAATTAACAAAAATTAACAAATAAAACTAAATGTTTTATTTATTGCAATTATTGTCACTTGCATCAATACATGTATGTCAATTAAATTAAATTTATTTGCCGAGCTTTTGCCTTATATGCACTTGGAACGTCATCAAAGCTCAGTAAATGAATTTCATTTAATTGCATGGCATGGCAAATCTCTAACTAAAAAATACAAACATGAAAAAGTACAAACAGGTTATAATGGAAAATTAGTGGAAATGAAAGTTTGGAATGTATTCATTGCTTCAAGGTGATGAGTGGCTTATGTCACTATATGTGCACTGATTCTGTTGGATTGTGGATGGGACACTGGTATACTGTTGTGGAGCCTGCATACCACCTTGATTGACCATTGTGCTAAAAAGCTGCATCATTCTGAACTCATGCTGCCGTTCTTGTTCCCTCTCTTCCTTTTCATGCTGGATGCGTTGTTTCTCCAACTCCAGCCATTGTTGTTGGATTGAGGTAGTCAGTGTGACATTTTCCTCGTGCTGTCCAGTTAGGACCTCCTTAAAACTTTCAACAGCAGACTCAAATTTGTTGGGCTTATGGCGGGTCATTCGTTTCTTTGGGCACTCTGTAGCAATGCAAATGGATATATAAAAAGAATTGCTTCATTTTCTGTCTTAAAATTTATTACTCGCTGGGGCACTCTGTGCCCCAGACGAGTATAGGTTTCGGCATGCATTTTTCTCCAATTGTCGATAGCCACAAAATAGAATATTAATGAGCTGCCTAATTTCCCCCCAATTATCCATAAGTCTCCTGCCGATTTTACCCAAATTATCCATAAATAACCCTCCATTTTGAGGAAAATTCGTGAAAATTGAACAATTTTACAAGGAATTTCGCATGGAAACAGCAACCTTCGCAAATCACAAGTTTATAAAAATTTATATGTTTGACTGTGCTTCTTTATATTTTGAGAAGAAAGCGATACCGTTCGATTCAGCGTAAGAAATTGTACTTACGGATGTCAAGTGTATTACTAAACACCCGTATTCTAGCGATTTATGGCCTTTGAAAATGAAGCGAAATTGTATTGTTGAAAAATCGCTGGCAGTACGGATTGTTCATCACAAATCACTCGCACTACGTTTGTCCACAGGTTTGTCCTTGTATTTGTAATGGCGCGATAAGGATAAAAATACCACCATTCGATTCAGAGTTAGAAATTGTACTAATTAATACGGATGTCAAATATACCAGTATTACTAAACAACAGTGTTCTAGCTATTTATGGCCTTTGTCTTTGAAAGCCAAGCGAAATTGTATTAATGTTGCCAATCGCTCAATATTATTAAACTAATTATAAAAAAATGCAGTACATTTGACCCTTGATAACTTTGGTATCATTGGTTTTCTCTTTTTCGGCCGTATAACAGTGAATTCGTCTCACTTCTCGCTTCGTTTTGATAGTATTGAGCCCAAAAGCCCCCCCAATATTTTATTTTGAACGTACAGACCAACTGGCGGCCGACAGAAAAATGTATATAGCGTACTAAAATCTAAATATAACTTTTGTCCTTGCAGACGGAATGCCAGATTTGCAGAGCACCATTTTAGTACTGTGTTTATAAACAGCCTTTTCCGCTCGTATTTGACTTTTCCGCTTAGCTCGGGGGAAAACCTTGAATCTCAATTGAAAGAGCTGTGTACTGTATGTATCATGTACATTGTACAGTAATGTGCGTATTTGTATAGCCCCAGCGAGTTAACGCTCCGCAGAGCGTCTTGTTAATTATTATTTGCAAAAATACTGTACTCAGTGTTAATACAAACTTGAAAGCAATAATCACATTTCACATTGTAAAAATTTGTTCCATAGTGTACTGTAACATATGAAGGAATTTATAACAGATTATAACAGATTGTTCCAGCTTGGTGTTTACTTCTAGTAGTGGAATTTATGCTGTTCAGTGACTGGTCTAACAGAGAATCATCATTAGAATCCTCATCTAAAAGAAAGAGAACAAACTATTGAATATAAATGTAACCAGGAAGTTTGGGCGGTGAATGATATGCTTGATCATGATGATATATTTAATACATATTCATACCGGCACTTGATTCTTCTTTACTGCCATCTGAACGACTGCTGTTCTGATCATCCTGGTTTGCTGCAAATCAACAAACACAATTGGTATAGTTTTAGTTATTCTATGTTGTCTGTGATTTATAGCTAGGAGGAATCATTAGGCATTCTATTTAATATATGCACACCCCACACATAAAAATGGGCTATTCCAATTATTATTCCCCGTTCGAGGAACCCCATTCTCATGTCGATTTTCACTTCCCATGGAATTTCCTTGTAAAAATTACCCTTGCCCATGGAATTTCTATTCCCCCCCCCCTGGAATTTCCATGTGTAAATTACCCCTCCCTATGGAATTTGCAGCATGCGAAATTTACTCCCGGAAATTTCATCTAACATATGTCCTCCCCCATGGAATTTCTCCCATGGAAAATTCCATGTGAGAATTACTCCTCCCCTTGGAATTCCAGAGCCTGAATGCCCCCTTTCCTGTAAATTTTAAGGTTAATGTACCCTCTCCCCTGGCAGTTCCAAGGTTAATGTACCCCTGCCCTGGAAATGCAAAGTTAATGCACCTCTCCCCTGGAAATTCCAAGGTTAATGCACCCCCTCCCCTGGAAATTCCAAGGTTAATGCACCCCCTCCCCCGCAAATTCCAAGGTTCCTCAACAGGGTGATAATAACTGAATAGCCCACTCCCAGCCCCTGGATGCAATTTTTGAAGTTTCCATGGATATCTTCTACCCCCTTTTAATAGGATCCCCTTTCCTTGGATATTACTCAAACACCTAATTTTTGCAATTGTTTTGAAAATGTCTCAAGCAAATAAGCAATCCTCTAGGAAAATTTAAAGTAAAACCTCCCTCCTCTCCTATAGAATATCCAGACCTTCTCCTATAGAATATCCAGGGGTGTGCCTATATTAAATGGAATGACCCATTGTACTTACGGTTAAATTCGGAACTACTGCTGCTTTCTTTATCTGCATCGGCATTCCCACTGTCCAGCAAAAACGTTGGGCGTGTTTGCGGTCTTGTCCCAAGCATTTCGTCTATTTCATTAAAAAATTTCGGTGGTTTGCCTGCACCAGCACCAGATCTAGCTATCTTGTCTTTATATGTTCTGTACTTCTCCCTCAGATGCTTGATCTTCGACTGGCATTGCTTTGCATTTCGGGTGAAGCCACCATCCGCCATACCTTTTGCAAGCTTCTCGTACACTATTTTATTGCGGATGCTGTGGTTTTCTAGTTGTTGTATATTCTGATCCCTCCAAATTGTGATCAGAAGCTTTGTCTCATTGTCTGTCCAAATATTTGCCATTAGAGATATGAATAATTGTCATCAATAATAATAAACCTCCTTGTGTTCACTAAAGTATTTAAATGTTTTTCCCTCCAATTATATGACAATCATCTGACCAGTTTTTATCGTGGGCGCATATTGCCATGGTAACGGGGCCTCGCCCAGGAAAAACCCGTTCACACCAGTGATGATCGAGGCCCAGGGCAGGCCAAGGCCATCCAGGCCAGCTACATTTGCTGGCCTGGATTTTTTCACTTAGGCCAGGCTCAGGCCAGGTAAAACCTGTTCACACCTAGGCCCAGGCCAGGTCCAGGCCAGGCCTGGGCCGCTGGTGTGAACGCAGCTTTAGTGATAATGACCCTTCTTGGCCCAAAACTATGGCAAACTATAAGCGGCTCAGAAAAGATGCACAAATGGTGACACTGCTACTTAAACAGTTCCTTACCTGTAACACGCAGCATCAGATGAAGCTCGTCCAGCACAACATTGCAGAGAGGAATGTTTACCAGAGGCTTGAATGCGCATGAAAAAATGTTCTTCATTGAACATTCGATAATGTCCTTAGTGGTCCTTGTCAGGTTCTCCCAATAAAAATTTTGGTGCTTTGATACATCACATCTAAAAGTTTTAAGAGGTTATACGATAATCTCACCAAAACCCACAAATGATGGCAGGCACTCAAGGCACATGGTATATTGTTTCTTTTCATAGAAAGCTGAAATATCTGGGGTGTACCGAAACTTCTGACCAATTGTTTTAACGGCATAGACTCCTCTGCAGGCATTTCTGTGTGGGTGCCCAGTGTTTTGTTCATCACACACAGGGAACCAGTAGGGAGGTGCCTGTGCAGGAGGCTAACAAAGGCAGTTCTACACAGGAATTGCCCCCCCCCCCCAAAAAAAAAACAAACCTTGCTGTTAAAATTAATTTCACGCCAAATACTTTAATAAGATTTATTTAACAAAGATACCTGTCTTTCTTATTAATCTTGCACCATATACAAGCATCGTCAGATGTTGCACTCTTCATCCCCCCCATCATAAGAAGCAAAAACTAAGAAACAAATGGTGATTTTTTAATGTTCCCAAAATAATGGCTCTGCAATAATATTGTAATGCACTACACTGTACCAACTGAATTACTGATAAATGGACTTATGTGATCTATGTAATATTCATAATAATACATTATTTATGTGTGACAGTGTACCTTGTAATCTCCTCCAAGATAAACTTCCACTGGAATACTGCTGCCAAAGACTTCAATTCTCTTGCTTTCAACCAATTTGTCGACTTGCTCAAATATAGTAGAGCAAGAACTTTTGAGCAAATCGTATGACTCGTGGCCTTTAATGATAGCAAGTGTGTGGTTACCTATTTATTAACAAGTAAAAGTAATAAAAAATATGAGATCTAAAATAAAAGTATTATAAAACTAATGGCTCCTTAAAACCCTTTACCACACAATGCCCCATGTGCTCTACTTTAGCATTTAGACTATCTCATGACCTTATGACAGATGATTTTACCCCCATCATCTTGGTAAGGAAAGAGTCATGCATGATAATGGTTAAACTTTTTGTTATTATTCCACAATCGTCATTATGGCATATACACAGTCGTACCTTTTGATGACATAACATTTTTTTGTTGTTCAATACAGAGAAAGAAATAACAACAAAATTTGTTAATCGTGACATCTTTGCACCATCCCCGGATAATTTAATGTCCAATTTAAATGTTGGATCGGAAATGTCAATGGTACCCTGGTGTATCTAAAAATATTATAAAAATATATTTGATTACTGTAACTTTGTAGTCTTAATCATAAACACAATCTAATCCGTGAACAGGCATATGATTGCCCCCTACACGAACGAAATATTTGGCAAAGTGTTCTCCACTAGTTAGTTAATTAATAGATGTGGTTGTCCGGTATTATGGAATCAATATCCCTCACATAAACATGCTACATTTTGGGGGTATAAAAAACAAATGCAACATTTTCATGTTATATTGTTTTAACAATGAAAGTGTTGGAAATACTGACAGACTTTTTTGTCATACATGTAATTTTAACCCATTACTAAGCTGCAGAGCTTCCCCCTTGACAAGTAAAATTGTTCAGCGTTAGACAAGCAAAAAATAAGTAAGGTGCATTGCGGCTCAATGGATTAAACAGATGTCAACTTACCATGCCTTCGACAACTGATTTCAATTCAGACATGAAATCAAGTTGTGCCCCAGGTGCTGTGCCTGGCGTACGGACAATATGGCTCAACTTATTGATTTCATCTTTGCATTGTCTGATCAAGTATGATCTTGGCAACCCATCATACAACATTTCAACTCATGATATGGGGCATCTACTATGCAAAATATTCTTCACTTTTTGTTTCTCTTCCTCGGAAAGATCCTTGTATCCTCGTTTCTCCTTTGACTGGTATGTGAAGGTGTGTTGTTTGCCATTCTCGTCAACAAAGCTGACATCTTGAATGTCTAATCCGAAAGTTTTCGAGAACCACAATGCTTTCTCAGTGTGAGTTTTCAACTCCGACAGTTTTCGCCTTTGCTGCCGTTCTGATTTATTCTGTGATCTTCTTTCCTCCATTATTGAAATTGAGATGCTGGCCAAGTTTCTCAACATGGTCCTTAAGGCTTTTGTTCTCAAGAGTTAATTCCTCAACTTCCTTCCGGGCATTGCAAAGTTCCTCAGTTTTAGCTTGATCAGCCACTTTTGCATCCGATAAAGACTTGTCGAGCTCCTTGTTTACCATTTCAATCTTCGCACACTTGAGTTTTTCTGTGGCCAAGGCAGAGTCTACCTCACCAACTGTCACCAACTCATTTAACCTCAGGGCTAGATTTAGGTCTTTCTGGCAGAGCTTTCTGTATGCTGCCCCACTTTTTCCAACAAATTTCTGCCTCATCTTGCTACACGCTTTCTCTAAACGTTTCTCTACACGTTGACACTTTTCTTTCACTCTGTAGCCACAATGGGTGTACAGGAATGTATTCAGTAATTGAATATAGCTACATGTAGTACCAGATGACATGAGCTGTGAAATTTGCTTTCTGAAATCACCCCATTTCCGTAGGCTCTCGTGCGGCATGTGTATCGTGAGAACGATTTCTTTATCTAAGGCACATTGCTTATTTGCATGTGTTAAACAATGGTTCGTATCTACTCGAACACGGTCCTTAAATTGTTTCCATTTGATGATTTCTCAAATTCGGAGGTCTATATTTCCCGCCGACATTTTGAATGAATATAATACTGATGTCGGGTTAAGCTCGTAGCAGACCGTAGGCAATCGGTGGCCAATAGCGTGGGCGACTTTATGCATATCTTAGCAACAGACTGCGGAGAATGAAAGGCGAAGGTTTCAGGAGTATTTTCACATTTATTTGAATGTAATCAACCCAATATTACGAGAATTAAGAGCATAAATGTAACTCTGACAATGGAAGGAAAGCTGGCATGTCGTCCGCTGAGACTATTCGCATTAGATGCTGGTTTAGCTGTTTAAATAAAAAAAAGCAGACTGCTTGCTATAAGTATAAAGAATCAAGATGGCGGAGCCTTCGACAAAATTACTCAATCACCTATAACTAAGACAGAATTTGATAGATTTTGAAACAGTGAGGAGTATGTACGGCTTTAACATTTGGTTCCACAGAAGTATCAGACATTTTGGTAAGAAATTACTACGATAATATTCTTATATAAGTTCTTTGTATGTTTGCATGGTGATAAAATATAATAGGTTTTGTTTGTGGAAACACCACGTAAATTTATTACTGCAAAGCTTTCGATCCGTAAGCCTGGATCTTCATCAGTGCTAATAATATGTGACTTGTTTAATTCACACGCTCTTTTATATACAAAAGTGTTGTGATCTGTTGGCTCGCGTCATTTGAAATTTAATTAAACGGCACATCAACCACGTCATTCCAAACGTAGTGAAGTGATTCCAATTAACGCGCACGCATCCAAGACAAGAGAAATTAATTTTGCACATTAAAGAGAGCACGCCACGTACTATCTAGTGGCTTTCCCTCCTGATCTATAGTATTGTGCTTCTCAATTTCAATTGACTCTCTCATTTTGCGAGAGAACTTGTGACTATCAATTGCCAAAATGGTTGCTTCGTCCCATTTTATACGATGGTCGTAAGTCCAAGTATGTTTAGCCACAGCAGATTTATCTTGCTCGGCTTTCTCGCAATTCGTCTTGTGTTCCTTAAGACGTACTGAGAGATTTCGACCAGTTTCACCAATGTAAACCAGACCACATTCACAAGGAATGCGGTACACACCAGGTTTCTGAGATTCATTTACATTGTCCTTATGTGTGCAAAGAGCTTGAAACAATTTGTTTTCGCTGGAATGGTATACACGACACTTTTGTATATAAAAGAGTGTGTGAATTAAACAAGTCACATATTATTAGCACTGATGAAGATCCGGGCTTACGGATCGAAAGCTTTGCAGTAATAAATTTACGTGGTGTTTCCACAAACAAAACCTATAATATTCTTATATTTTTTGTGAAAAGCAGACTGAGTGTTACTTCTGTTGACCACTTGTGTTGTTCAAATAGTTTGCTCAAATAACTGGATATTAAGGGTATGACAGATTCTGCCTAGCAGAACAAAGAAAATGTTTTATTCATTAATAACTGATTTTCTCATATATAAAACATAAGCAACAAGTTGCCATTTTGAAGAGCAAACTTTGCACATGCGCAGTTTGAATGTCTGGAATTTCTGGCCATGAGTTGTTGATGCTTTTAGTGATGCAGAAAAGCAGTTCCAGACTTCCGCACCTCTGTAGGAGAATGCATTTTTCGTGCTATTTGTTTTTGGTTTAGGCAATGTCAAATCAGTTCCTGACTGTCTTATGTTATGGTCGTACATATCACACAAGTAATCGGGACCAATTTGTTTTCCACCTTGTACATTAAAATTGAAAGTTGTTGCATTCTTCTTTTTTCAAGGTTCGGAACTCCTAGCTTGTTTAATATATCAGTTGATCGTGTCATGTAATTCTCACAAGTGATTATTTTAAATGCTCTGTTTTGTAGTTTTTTAACTTTAGCTGCTAATATTTTCCCTAGGCAACCCCACACTTGTGCACAATAATCGAAAAGGTTGAATTATGGATTGGTATATTGTTATTAAGGTATTGAATTCGACTGTATCCCGGAGTCTTCTGAGAATAGCAAGACCCAAGGTGACCTTTTTAGTGCAAAGTTGCTTTGCACTATTGTTATGAGGTTAAATTCAATTACCGATCAATGGATCGATCGATGGACAGAGTAAACAATCCGGGGGAGCTTGCGAATGATTTTTTATTACGTTTTCTAGAGCTTTGTGACATTCGGCCAACTAATCGTTTATAGCTATTTGTGGATTATAACAATCTATATTTATATTCATGATGGTACATGTTCTTACTTATTTATCCGACATTTAGAGAAGTTATAACGAAATTACTGTTGCATTTCAAGCACTTGTTATTATATGATTTGCCCCCCTGCAACATAAATACACATGCATAATACACATGCTCTCATATCATAGAATATATGTAATATCATTTTACAATGGTGGACATGGACGAGCGGTGACTATTAAGCGGCGGTGTGAAATCATGTAGACTAGAGTGTATTACAACTGAGGTTGATAGTATTATAGCATGGTGCATTATCTATCAAAGATACACCAGAGTGATGTATACATGAATAGATGCCAGTGGATATAAAATAATTATAAGTCAGCAGCTAATTTATATCAGCGAGCCTCTTCTTGTATTATTATATCGCGATATAATCCACGGAAAGGAGAGACCGCTCACAGTTTATATCAGCTAGCTTATTCTTGTATTATTATATCGCGATAGAGCAAGGTTTACATGGCCCAATAAATAGTAAATAATAAAATAAAATTGAAATTTTGCTCCAGAGGCAACATGCAGAGGTCGAGTGTATTTATATTATTATATAGCGGCCAAGCCGGCGAGAGCCAGCTAGTGAACTATAAATGTCTGTATATTAACGATCTAGTGTTTGTAGTGAAGTATATTATTTTTAATAGCAGAAATTTCTGTACTCAGTGACAGCGTAATCTGTAGTCAGTAATGTCAGTTCGTATTGTTTCCGAGATGTTTTATATAATCAGTCATTCCAAGCTTTTGTCAAACTATTGATATTTCTCACTGTAAACTGTAAAATATTATATTAGTGAGAAATATTTAGATGTTGGCCATAGTTCTGTTTGCATATCATGGGGTCTGTTTATATGGAAGCTTACCGGGCTGTCTCGCTAAGCGGGCCAGCCCGGCTTTCATATAAACAGGCCCTTAAAAGCTGTTCATTTTTGTTTCATTTCGATTTTCAAAGGCGGTTTATTTTGTGTTGTATTAAACGTACGAGTAGAAAATTGAATTAAAAGCAAATTGAAAGAAAAAATCTGGATTAAAGCCACCATTCAAGGAATTAAGCCATGGAAAATTATCTATGCGGAAACAACAAAATTTACTGTCGTGGCTTGTAATATACAAAAACAAACGCCAAACAACTTCCTTATAGATGCATCAATCCTATTTCTTACATTATGCAATTCAACATAAATCTTGATTATCATTTGTCATATCAACTTTGCACTATCCTTGGGCTCTCTGAGTTTGAAATGTGTTCGACCTGCACGGTCCAGTCTAGAGACTTGTGTATCATCAGGCCCAATGATTTTGTTGTTTCAACTCTCTTAATTTCTAAGTTACACCTACACTGATTGCAGGATCAGCAGTCACTTGACTAAGCCTTTTGTTGGAACCAATTATCATATATTCGGTTTTACTATTGTTCAGAGTTAATTTGTTTGCAGACAGCCAATTTGCAACATTGTTTAAATCTCTATTTAATGTTTTGATGATTACTTTGATATCGTAACTTAATGTTGCAATTTGGGTATCATCCGCAAACATGTCTGGTTTATAATAGCAAAGAAATACCACACACTCAAACAGACTTGGCCTCGCTCAGTAGGCAGATCATTGGACTAGTATTCCAAAGGTTGCGGGTTCAATTCCCACCGTGGTCAGGCTAACTTTTCTGCCTGCCAGGTGAATGTCATGTACTCAGGTGAATATATTGTACCAAATACAATATATTCACCTGAGTACATGACATCAAAACACAAACAAAAAATGTATCTTATTTATTATTTTCCCTTACGTACAGATTTTAATAATTACAAACAAATTTATTCTAATGATAGTGGGCTAGGGACCCACTAGAAGGTTTTACAGGCTTTTTGGTTTAGGTCCCTAGTTGTGGTTCATAATGAGGTTAATTAATATATTTACAATTAAAGATAATGAAAAATATATGCTATTTACATAATTTTAGAATATATGCTATTTACAAAAGAAGGATGATAAAGCAGTAGTATTACAATAAAAGATTTATGTTAAAATATCAATAAAATATGAAGACCGTATAATTTTATACAGGATTTAGTAAAAAATACTGTTTAATTTTCTTCTTGAAGACATTGTAGGAGTTTGTGCCTTTAAATTTTGGCTCTAATGCATTCCAAATATCGATTCCCACGGGACGAAAATACAAATATGCCTATGTGCAAATGTATGTGCAAATTTGATGCCAATTCCAAATTCGCTCACCTTTGACCACATTTGCACCGGTTCAAATTTGTAGATCTGCTTCACGTTTGCACCCGGTGCGGTAGAGTGATTGCCGCCAAGCCACTGGGTGCAAATTTGATGTATATTTAATGTGAATTTATATATTTGTGCTATCATGCCAATTCAGAGTGATTTCGTTGCAAAAATAGAAATTGCTAAATATATCACACATGGTGCAATTTTAGTACTGATTTTCAAAATGGCACTCGTTTCGAATTTATGGCAGATTTCATGCAAATTCCACATTTGCACAAATATTCACATACCGTTTCGTATTTGCACATTAGATGTGTTTATACAATCTACAGAATAGCAGTTATTTCATTAAAAATGCTAGATGCACGACCCGGATTCATAATAAAGTTTCTGAAACGTTGTCTGATCGTAAATTTTCATTTAAAACATGAGCTTTCGACTGCCAGTCTGCAGTCTTCGACAGGTATAGTGATATTACCTGTCGAAGACTGCAGACTGACAGTCGAAAACTCATGTTTTAAATAAAAATTTACGATCAGAGAACGTTTCAGAAACTTTAGTTATTTTATTGGTTTGAAATATTATGCTGTAATGTCAGTGAGAGACGTAAATTCAAGTGAATTTCAGTTTATAATTATATATTTAATTAAATTAATAGTATATATATGAACACAATACATACAGAACATATTTTAATGAAACTATGAAAGTTTACATACAGCTATTTCCAATTAAGCTTGTCTCCCGAGCAAAGCAGAAAAGTCGAATACAAGCGCGAAAGGCTGCTGGGAATCGCTAATAAATTCATTAATTTATTAGCGATTTCCAGCAGCCTTTCGCGCTCGTGTTCGACTTTTTCGCTTTGCTCGGGGGCCAACCTTAATTGGAAATAGCTGTATATTAACACACGCATAAGGCCATCAAACATTTGATTTCTTAGCTGGAATGTTTTAAGCGTAAGCGCAAACATAAGCACACTTATAAGGAACAAAATGTTTTGATTCGGCTATACGGTTTATTCACTCTTAACCTAGGCCTTGTTTATTTACTCTTAACCTAGACCTGAAAGATGAAAGTTGTATTCCCCGTGTTTCCTGCACAATATATTTGTTTCTCGCTTATCCTTAGCTCAATAACAAGTAATTAAGTTTTTAATATCCTACGTGCATGAAACATGAATAAATACCTGAGACGAATACTAGGCCGGTCAGAAATGAATAAATTAAAACAGTAAGGACTAACTGTATAACATAATAGCCTAATACAAAAACTCTGCATGCGTCCTTTAATTTCTTAAATTACTGTTCTGACCGCAACATAAGCGCAACATAAGCACGAGCTACTTTAATATTAGCATAAGCATAAGCACAAGAATATCAAAATTTATTTTTATTTATTTATTTATTAACTTTACAACAATATGTAAAATAGACTAAAACACTACATAATATGGTTGAAGGTATGGTCAACAGGACATGAATAGCCCCATGTGAAGACCAACCTTAATGAAAACAAACTATAACAAACATAAATCAAAGACGATAACAAATATAAAATTTACAGAAAACATGACAAATTACGAACAACAGCTTAAGTTGAAAGAGCGGCACTTAGAACAGAAGGTTTTCCAAGTGCGCATTCTGTTTACATCGAAAGATGAATGAAGTAGAGAAGAGTAATGAACAGTCAGTCTGTTTTTAAAGGAGGAAACGGATGAACTATTACGAATGGTGGGAGAGAGATTATTCCAGAGAAAGACAATTCGGTTGAAAAAAGAGTTCCTAAAGAGAGAAGTCCTGCGATGATTGACACGAAGCAAGTTGTCCGAACTTGAACGGGTGTGAGACGAGCTGTTTGAAGAAAAAGTGACGAAAGAGGAGATATCTAGGTCGAAGAGACCGTGCTTACATTTAAAAAAGAAGACGAGATCCTTTAGTTCCATCCAGTAAGATAATGGTAATAGATTAAGCTTTTTAAGGCGTTCAGGATATGGCAACTCATAATCCTGGAGGATAAATTTACTAGCTCGTCTTTGAACACCCTCGATGATTGCAAGATCACGTGACAATCCTTGAGGTGCCCAGATCTCACTACCATATGACAGATGAGATCGGACGAGAGCAAGATAAAGAAGCCTACGGCAGCGAATATCAGACATTTGCGTACAATTCCTACGAAGAAAACCAAGCATACGATTGGCTTTTGCAGTGCAGCTGGCAATGTGAGGGGACCACTTTAGGTCATTGCTGATAGGGTTACGTTTGCGAGATATCCTAAGTAGGAGCGTCTTCGAGACATTAAATTTCATTTTCCAGTTAAGTGACCAGTTGGACATAGCGTCCAGGTCGAGCTGAAGGAGACCACGATCAACTGGTGATCGTATAGCACGATAACACTTGCTGTCATCAGCAAAAAGTGCAACGGTACTATTATTGGTTACCTCGGAAAGGTCATTTACATAAAGAATGAATAAAAGTGGACCTATTACACTACCTTGTGGCACCCCAGAGGTAACATTAAGAAAAGATGAGGAAGCTCCTTCAACGACAACACACTGTTTGCGATCACGAAGGTAATCAGCAAACCAATTAAGAAGTGGACCTGAGATTCCAAACGATTTGAGTTTGAACAAAAGTTTGCTATGGGACACCGAGTCAAACGCTTTAGCAAAGTCGAGATAAATCAGGTCTGTTTCCTTTCCAGAGTCAAGAGTACGACCAAGGTCATGCGACCAAGGTCGTGAAGTACACTCAAAAGTTGAGTAACACATGACCTTTTACAATGAAAGCCGTGTTGAAGGTCGTACAAGGAGTTTTCAACAAAAGAAGAAACCACCTGCCTGAAAATTAAACGTTCGAGAACTTTTGAGACTTGAGAGAGTAAGGAAACTGGTCTGTAGTTAGTGACCTCATGAGTGTCACCCTTTTTGGGTATAGGCACGACATTAGCAGCTTTCCATTCAGAAGGAAAAACACCCTGCTGAAGAGATAACTCAAAGAGAGCAGTCAAAGAAGGGGCAATTACCTCAGAACATCGCTTTAGAAGGTAAGCTGGAATACCATCAGGACCAGTAGCCTTAGAGGGTGACAAATTGGACAACAAAGACTGAACATCAGATTCAGATACATTTAATGAGTCAAGAGAGTTAGAAGCTGAACTAGAGGGAGTGAAAAGAGGTGAAGAACTTGTGTCGGAGGTGAAGACTGACGTAAAAAATTGGTTAAAGCCATCCGCTTTTTCCTTTGCAGAAAAAAGTTTCTGACCTTCCAACTTCATCACGTCAGGGATCGAAGATTTCGAGGATTTACATTTAAAGAATCTCCAGAATAATTTAGGGTTATATACATGTTCGGACAGTCCAGAGAGATATTCTCTCTTCTTGGAATTTATCCAACACTTGACGTGTTGCCGAGTTTTACGGAATTTCTTCCAAAGTTCAGGCGAGTTCTTAGCCTTTGCCTTTCTTCTTAGTGACTCTTTCATCTTAATAGCGTGAAGTAAGTCCTTGGTGATGTATGGGGGTGTAAAAGAACGCTTGAGCTTTGTTTTGGGGATGAAATGGTCAACAGCGGCAAGGAAAGCTTCCTTCCACTTAGCCCAGGCAAGATTAACGTTGTTACTTTCGTTGAGGACTATATCAACTAGTGGAGTGTTCCTTAGACTGTTAAATAGGCCCACGAAATCACCCTTAGCATAATTATAGACCACACGTTCGGAAGATTGTTTAGGTTGTTGATGGAGTTTTAGGTCGAAAAATATAGCTTTGTGATCAGAGGGTAGAGCGATGGAGTCGTCATCAGTAACTTCAAAATTGTCGGTCAAATGTTCATTAAGATCACGCTTGGTACTGAACCCACAACATCTGAAAGTGAACAACGAGTTCTTGGTGTAAATTGGAACTTCGTTGAAGATCAACTTGTTTTTTACTTAAGTGGCATAGCTGAATTGGCCAAAACCTGTGAACCCACCAAGCGAAATATCGTTCGACTCTCCGCTATGTTTTACGACCCGTTGGGATATATGTCATCAATAACTGTCCAATTTAAACAAATGTTCCAAGAGTTATGCGAAAGTAAAGTTGGTTGGGATGATGAGATCTCACATTCGATAAGAGTAAAATGGGAGAAACTAGTAGCAGAACTACTGAAGATGAAACGCATTCTCCTTCCCCGTTGCTATTTCTATAACATAAGCGAGAGAGTAATTTCTTCCACCATCCATGGTTTCTGTGATGCGTCAAAGATGGCATATGCCGCGGTGACCTATTTGGTAATTAGAACTGCCAGCAGTACTTACGTAAGATTTTTAGCATCTAAGACAAGAGTCGCCCCCATTGACAAACAAACTATTCCTCGATTGGAACTGTTATCCTGTCTCATCCTTGCAAGATTACTTAAAGACGTGGAGGAAGTCTTAAGTCTGGAGTTACAATTGCAAGATTCAGTTTGCAGGACTGATTCGAAAGTAGGGTTGTTCTGGATCAAGAATGAAGATCGGGAGTGGAAACAGTTCGTGCAGAACCGAGCAATGGAAATCCGAAATCTGGTAAGCCCGAATTCTTGGCAACACTGTCCAGGCAGAGATAACCCAGCTGACATGTACCTTCAAGAGGAATAAACCCTTCAGAGCTAGCGGACAGTATACTATATATAGCACAGTGGTCCAGATTGGCTAGGTCAAACTAATACTGAAAAGCTTGAAGACGGTGACGAGCAATGCGTACCACCAGAAGAATGTTTAGCGGAAATGAAATTAACGAAACCACCAAGTTTATCAACCCTTACACTGAGCAATTCTTCGCATGGTCTCAACGAAATTATAAGGTGCGAGCGATTTGGAACCCTGAAACGACTTCTTCGGGTGACAGCGTATTGTGAAAGCAGTGCAACACAAGAAGGACGGTAGAATTGAAGGTGGTAGTTTAAGTGCGAACGAAATTGATGAAGCTCACACTGTGTGGATGAAGGAAATGCAACGAACATTGCCTGAGAAAGGGGAATTTGAACACTGGAAGGTTCAGTTTGATCTTTATCTTGACGAAAAAAAGGTATGGAGATGCAAAGGAAGATTGGGAAGGGCGAACTTGCCATTAATAACGAAGCATCCTATCATATTGGACAAGAATCATTATCTCACAACCCTAATCAATCGGGAGTGCCACAAGAAAGTGATGCATAATGGCGTAAAGGAGACCCTGACTGAATTGCGATCCCAGTATTGGCTTGTTCGAGGAAGACAGTTTATTCGGACACAACTGGGCAAGTGTGCTACTTGCCGCAGATTTGAAGGAAAGTCTTACCAAGCTCCACCCGCACCTCCCCTGCCAGAGTTCCGAGTAAACGAGGCACCACCCTTTACTGCGACGGGCATAGATTTTCTCGGTCCGTTATACGTGCATGAAGACGAGAGAGGAAAATCCGAAAGTCCGGATCTGTTTATATACATGTTGCGTAGTCAGAGCACTACATTTGGATGTCGTGCCAAATTTGACATCAGAAGGATTCATGAGGAGTTTCAGAAGATTTACTGCCCGAAGAGGAATACCATCAACTATTATAACGGACAACGGTGGGACATTTAAACCCGCGGCGAAAGAAATTACTACCATTTTAACTCATCCTGACGTAAAGAAATTCTTTGCTGGAAAGCGCATAACATGGCATTTCAACTTGGAAAAGGCCCCTTGGGGGGAGGCTTCTTTGAAAGGCTGGTCAAATCGACGAAGAGATGCTTAAAGAAAACCTTGGGAACGGCTAAACTCACGTACGAAGAGCTTCTCACAGCAACGGTTGAAGTCGAAATGATCCTCAATTCTCGCCCTCTGTCGTATATTTCCACAGAGGACTTCGAAGAACCGCTCATGCCTTTACATCTGCTGATAGGACGAAGGCTATTGAGTCTGACAGAACCCAACTACAATGAAGACGATCCAGATTCTGACATTAAGTTAGATACGGATGATTTAACCCGGAGGATGAGACATTCAAGTAAATGTTATGAATCATTTCTGGTCGAGATGGAGGAATGAGTACTTGATGGAGTTGCGAGAATCTCACCGAGTTGAGAAATGGAATGGAAATGAAACCGTCAGTCTTGGTGATATTGTAGTAGTCCACGAAGAATCACGTCCCAGAGGACTTTGGAGAATGGAGATTAGGAAAGGTTAAAAGTTAATCTCTGGAGCTGATAGACAGACAAGAGGTAAGTAAAGTGTAGTAAAGGTGTTTTCAAAGAAAGGAAGATCAACCACCATAAAACGACCTGTTCAGCGACTCTACCCCTTGGAAATCAGATCTACAGCCAGAGAAAGTGAATTACCTGTCGAAGCCAAGGAGGATGACAAACCAGAAGTGACGAGAACAAGACCCAGGAGAGCAGTAGCGATCGAAGCGGATAACCGAAGAAAGAGATGGATCGAGGACCTTGATTTATGAGGTTGTAAAATATATGTTGACAATTATAGGATTGAACTTTGGATAGTTGGTTAGTTTTAACCGCACTGCATATACAATTTATTTCTTAACATTATTGAACTACTTAAAGGTGATCTACAGTCCGATCTGCGCATGTGCACAAATGAGCCCACCTTTTATGATACAAACAGTTTAACTATGTTTTGAGTTCTTGAAAAGCTTGATTGTTGTTTCTTGATCATTTATTATACTCTAGAAGCTTGAAAATATAAATAGTTGTCGAATAAAGCTCAATATTTTGGACACAAAAATGTAAACAAAGGCTTTGTTTACATACGGACTGTAGATCACCTTTAACTGTTTTAGTTATAGATTTGGTGACCAACGGATTTGATTGGTCAACAGGGGGAGTGTAAGAGAAAACGGAAGTTTATTTTTCATAGTGGAAGTTGTTATTGTTATTGTTAAGCGGAAGCATGGCGCATGCGAGAAAGTATTGTACGAGAGGGAATTTATGTGTTTATGTTGTGTTTTATGTAATAAATTTGTACAAAACCAGTGCATGAAGTGAGTCTTTTGAATCTAAGAATAACTCAATATAAAGGAAACAATTCTACATATCGAACACCGCCAGATAATTTCCAGCTCCGGCAAATTCATGAAAATTCGAAATTTAATCCAGCTCCGGCAAATTCGTGAAAATTCGAAATTTAATGGAAATTTCACATTATATTTTATTAAATTTCACATTATTTTCAAAGTGGAAGCACTATCCTTGTTTTGGAACACTTCACATGAACATTTGTCATTTCAGAGGGCCCCCTATACCTCTTCACAATATGCTTTCACATAAAAATATTTTGCCTTTTCACGAGTCACAGATTAAGAAAATCATCGATCACGTTTCACGGCTAAGTAAAACAAGCCTTTCACGCTTCACGCAAAAAGTATAGGGGGACCTCATTTCATACTATGTTTGAGGCAAGCCTAGCTATGCAGTATCAATGCAAGTATTTACTTTTTCATCGATGGATTCAGGTTTTTTTGCTGATGTCCAACATTTGCAGCACAAATAAGTGCTGCCAGAGATGAACAAACTCTAGCTCCAGCAAAATAGGCCAAAACTCCGGTTCCGGCCCTCCCGCTCCGGCGCACAGCACTATCCAACCCCCAAAGCCCATTGATACCCTGCAAATATCAATACCGGAGGTATGCACCAAGTACTAGTAAATATATTATTGCACTGCTGGTTGTGTACTAGACATGTCCGGCGCACAGTGCTTGCATATTATTTCTATACATCACATAACCCATATTGGCATTTTGCTCAGAAAATGGCTGACAACTGACTGTTCTATTCAACACTGATTCCTACTGCACAAATGGGCAACATACTCGGTACTAACTGTACACAATATAAATTGATAATCTATAAACGACAAATCTATATAAATTTGGTCTAGATATCAGATTACAAAACTATATTACATTTACATGTAATCATGGAAGTCAACAAATACTCACGCTTTATGTTTTGTAAAGAAATTTACTTGAATATGGGGGCAATTTTCACCATCCATCTTTTATACAACTGTAGTTACTGGTTTTACTATTCCATTTTACAGTCTGCGAGTCTGATCATAATAAAGGATTGAAGTGCAGAAGTGGTCTGATTTTCAATGCCAGATGAAGACATGAAGTACAGTATGAAGTACAAGTTTGTACCTGCGGGCTCCTGCGGGCTCATTCTTCTGAACTGTCCACTGAGGAACTGTCAAATGAACAATCAATATATTTCAATTTTCAAATAAAAGGAAAATATCTCGGAAAATATTATGTTTTTAAATCCGCGTTTGTCAGTATATCTTCCTGTTTTGCATAAACGAAAGAATATTCTTTGATTCATTTTCGTTGAATATTAAAAGTCAAGTCATGGTAAGACATCACAATTTTTGGATTTATATAAGCAGATTAGTCGGTCAATAATCAGATAATCGGTAATCGTCTAATCGATTGGCATGTACATTAATATTAATGTATAATTTAACACATTGAGTGGTAGCACTCTCCCCTAGCTGATGAGTAAAATCGTCTGGCGTTAGAGTAAAATAAGGCCAATGGAACTGAAGATTCTGTTTACCGTCCACTGCCCGCATGTGCTTGCAACAGTACTGTCAGAAAATAGACAATAACAAAAATAATGAAAAATGAATAATGAAAAAAAATCGCATCGGATTTTTTAAATTCTCGGACGGTAAACAGAATCTACAGTTCCATTGGCCTAATAAAGCAGGGCAATTTGCTGCATGGGCAGATAGTTTGATTATTAACCCATTAAGTGGCAGCACTCTCCCTCAGATGAGTACAATCATCTGGCATTAATAGACAGAGTAAAATAATAAAGTAGGGCGCATCTGGGCACATTGCCACTTAAAGGGTTAATACTAAGTTTTATATATTTCAATTTTTTATTATTCTTGGTATTTAATTTTATATATTAATTAGTTATTGTTTCCTACATGAAACTGTAATTCATTCAATAAATTAACATACACTGTCGGGAAAGTTTGTTAATTTATGTTAACTTAATTAGAACATGTGATAGTCTGATAAATTAACTCTGATAAATTAAACTTTTTATATGACCAGAACGCTGTCTCAAGACCAGTTACTGAAATTACTATTTACATTGATGGTATGAATTATTCAAATGAATACCATAGTCTGTTTAACCAGAGACGGATTTTCATATTTTCGTTCGGAGGGCCGTGGATAAATATCTGGGGGGGGGTGTGCTGCTGCTTGCTTTGGCCGGGGCCTGGTGGCAACAGGGAAAAAGTTTAACAAAATTTGTTTTCTAGGCCTGCATGGTGAGATCTGAGACCACAATATTGGTAATTTTACAAATTTAGTAGTAAGAATAATCAAATATGAAACTATCAAATCAAAATATATATAATTTGCGGGGGTGCAAAAACTTTTGGGGGCGGTGCAAAATGCCTCTGGGGGGGGCTGTGCAAATCATTTCTGGGGAAGTGCACACCCCCGCACCCCCCCCCGAAAATCTGTGCCTTAGTTTAACCCATTGAGTTGCATTGCACCATAAATGGTAATGTGGCCTACATTGTTGTATTCTGTCTAACGCCAGACAATTTTACTCTTCAAAGGGAGACTGGCACTCAGTGAGTTCAATCGTCTTCATTTTAAAGAGGTTCAGATTTGACTTCCATTGCTAGAGTATACTAGTGCTGTGAAAACTCCAGGTTTATCACCTTCAGGAAAAAAACTCTGGCTCTGGCAGAAAATTTCCAGCTTTGGCAAATTCATGAAAATTAAAAATTTAATGGAAATTTCAAATTGGAAGCACTATCTTTGTTTTTTATTTTAACAGGCCTTTCAGTTTTTTTTTCAGGGATTTTTTAAGACCGTAAAACGGCCCCAAAAACTCAATCTTGAATTGAGTTTTGAAATCTTCTCACCAAAAGATTCAGTGCAGTAAAAATGAAATTTTTTAGTTAAATTTGTGACATGTGCAAATTAGTTTCAGTTGGAAACCCGACAATCAAGAAAAAATGGCTGGAATTCATTTCACAATGTAGGAAAAACAATGCATTCGCTATCTTTAACCAGTTTATAGTGTCCCTTAGTGACCCTGTTTTAACACACTGCGTCTCAACTACACTTATTGGGTACAGGTGTCAGCCTCCCGCAGCTGCCCCAGACCCCCAGCTGTTCAGCTAAACTCAACTGATCTTCTCTGCAAAAACGGACCCAAGATTCTGAAAAAAACCCTGCCTTTAACACTTTATTGTTCCTAATCCATTAGGTATTTGTTTTTTTGCTGCACAAACGGAATACCAAAGTCATGGAATTTACTATTCCATCAGGCATATTAGTATATACGGAATAGCAGATTAGCATAAATTTCAATTTCTGGGCAGTCATACACAGAATACTATAATTATTTATATGTTTGTGGCAAGCCTACACAGTATCAATGTGAGTATTTACTTTTTTGTCGATGGATTCAGGTTTTTTCGCCGATCTCCAACAGTATAGTTTGCAGCACAAATAAATGCTGCCAGATTTTTGCCAGAGTTGAACAAACTCTGGCTCCAACAAATTAGGCCAAAACTCCTGCGCACAGCACTATATCCACTACACTACCTCTCACTTGCTCTGTATGTACCTCATTGGTTAATCATGTAAGTGCATCTGATTGATTATATAAGTGGTCCCTTAATGATAGTGGTGGTTGCACCCGCACACCCCTCGCACTCCCAGGAAATCAATCCCAGGTTAAGATGGCGATTTTTGGCAATCATTATACTCTTAATACTACCATTCATTATCTGCATTTTCAAATATTCTAATTAAAATATCAATATTTGTGAGTGGTTCAAGTAAAAACGAGTCATTTTCCGTATTACAGAGAATGATTTTTTAAACATGTAGTAGTTGACATTATAAAAAACTCATGTTCCGTATATGCTGTGCATATATAACGTTTCGTTTTTACTGTAATGAATCACTCACATTTGTTTTTCAATATAAATCTTCTTTTTCATTGTTCATTATTCCGCTTAAACCATCCTCAATCCTGATGAAAGGCCTTGCTTCAAAGGTTGAAGAACGATTTTTCAGGGAGTTGAGCCACTGCCACACAGGAATCCAGCTTCAATATTAGTTTACAGATTCTCTCCACATGTATTATCGGTTCAACACAAAATAAATGAAAGGTTGAACATAGTAAAAAATCAACCCGTAGTTCTTGCTCCCCATAAGGATTGTGTTGTTATGCAAAACTGGCAAATATCTACAGAATATTAAGCAGAGTGAAATTCAATACTTTGGTATCATAATTACTAAGCCATGAACTTGCTTGCCTTACTTTTAGCGATTGGTCATGATTGTAATTATAAGGGAGTAACTAATTTTTTGGAACTAAAGCTCAAGAAATTCTTCTTTGTCCCGGACTTTGGAATGCAAAATATTTTTCAAAAATTAGAACGAGATGGTTT